ATGTCGTCGGCGTTGGTGTTGGTGCGGCGGATCGTCCTCACATTCCCGGTCTGGGCTTCGAGATGCCTCAGCCACAACTTCGTGGCGGATCACCTCTACGGGTTCAGTGAGTGTGGCCGAGACCTCGACGGGATCAGCGAGTGTAGCCCGAACAATGACTGCCGGGGCCTCGGCGGGATCAGCGAGTGCGGCCAGAGGAATGACTGCCGGGGCCTCGACGGGATCAGCGAGTGCGGCCAGAGGAATGACTGCCGGGGCCTCGACGGAATCAGCGAGTGCGGCCAGAGAAATGACTGCCGGGGCCTCGACGGAATCAGCGAGTGCGGCCAGAGGAATGACTGCCGGGGCCTCGACGGAATCAGCGAGTGCGGCCAGGGGAATGACTGCTGGGGCCTCGACGGAATCAGCGAGTGCGGCCAGAGGAATGACTGCCGGGGCCTCGACGGAATCAGCGAGTGCGGCCAGAGGAATGACTGCCGGGGCCTCGGCGGGATCAGCGAGTGTGGCCAGAGGAATGACTGCCGGGGCCTCGGCGGGATCAGCGAGTGTGGCCAGAGGAATGACTGCCGGGGCCTCGACGGAATCAGCGAGTGCGGCCAGGGGAATGACTGCCGGGGCCTCGACGGAATCAGCGAGTGCGGCCAGGGGAATGACTGCCGGAGCCTCGACGGAATCAGCGAGTGCGGCCGAAAGATTCGCTGCCGGACGAGTCCAGTACTTATTCCGCGCGGTGATGATGATAACCAGACGTTGGACTAACGCAGTCAAATCTCTGAGTAGCTGGGCGCTAGAGACCTAATTCATGAAATCGTTCTGGCAACGTGGGTGATGCAAAATTTATTTTTAAAAACTATGCGGTGGCTCACAATGCTTTTCACAGGGGCCGCTGGGATTCGAGATGAAGCGTTACCCGCATTGTGAGAACGGTTCCAAACAATTATTCCGCGGGGCCCTGCTGCTCAGAGAGTTGGTTCCGCCGGTCCAACGCCTGGTCAGTTCTGTTACCCAGCTCTAGCGCAATGGATGCTGGGCTCACCCGGAAGCGGTCTTCTGGCCGTACTCGCTGATCCTATCGAGAAGATCCGCCGAGCAGCCGTGGCCAGATGGCTCGATGTCGAGGTCAAAGATCAGAGGAGACCCACCAAGGAGCCGTAGTCAGAAGGCTCGATGTCGAGATCAGAGATCAGAGGAGATCCGCCGAGCAGCTGTGGCCAGATGGTTCGATGTCGAGATCAGAGACGGCACGAGGTGCGACTGCATCAGTTGTCTGACAAGCTTTGACGCCACAGACTATGACCTATCTTCAACCTGCTAACCTTCAAGCTGTCAACGTGTGCGCATTGATTGGTCGAAGGAGTCAGCAATCGAGCCGTAAGCTTCCGATTTGAAGATTTTTCCGATGTGATTTTCAAAATAATTGCCGGAACAGATTAGCAGTAAGTTTCAACAAAACAACCGATAGAGATCCTGCCATCATGTCAAGAATGTGTTCTGCTTTAAATGCTAAGCCTTTGCTACTACCAATCTGAAAAGTGTTAAAGTTAAATCTACAGAACCGGACTTTGACTGTGCCCGCGTATGTGTCACGTATGTAGTCAGACTGCTGATACACTCCGGCAATGCTAACGCGTATGTGTCACGTATGTAGTCAGACTGCTGATATACTCCGGCATTGCTAACGTTTCACTAAGACGCAACATTTATTAAAGAAAAATGGCGGAAATTTGAATGATGTTGTCAAAAAAGGCAAACGAATATGATCAGTCAGTTTGCGTCTGAAGTTTCATTGGTAGGGTTGCAGTTTCTCATAATAAGTTTGGGGGACTGAACTGAAAAAAAGCGACAACTTTCCTCAACATACACAAAGCAGTGAATAGGAAACTACACCCCTATTCGTCAGTGTCGTACACGTTATATCGTCATTATTATGCTACACATCAGTGACGATGCAAGCCTTTGAGGGAAAATTTCTGTTCTAATAACACAATGGCCTTGATATTTCCGTGGTAGTTTCGGGGTCCCCTTGGAGTGGCTGGATAAAGCTTGCTGCACACACCCCGAACCCACCACCTGTGTCGTTCCAACTTACCGGATAATGTTGTCCCATCTTGTAAGCCACATGCAGCAACAAGCACGCCATGAAGTTATGCACACGGGCGCGCGGTATGGAGTTGTGTGCAGTGAAACGGCCATCCCGCACCTTCGTACCTGGTCCAACGTCTGTGGCCGTCCCGCACCTTCGTACCTGGTCCAACGTCTGTGGCCAGTCATCAGCCAGCTTTCCCTGCCGGTCGGTCCCAACAACATGCACATTCTAAGACGGTCATTCTTTTTTCGTTCTTTCGTAGCGATATATATATATATATATATATATATATATATATATATATATATATATAGGCATATATATATATATATATTTATATATATATATATATATATATATATATATATATATATATATATATATATATATATATATATATATATATATATATATGATTTGTGTGTGTATGACATCAGCTTCATGGCTTCATCTACACATCTACCGTATGTGTGAAGCTGATGTGAAACATATGTCATGTTTAACCAACATCCGCCTCTGTTCTGTGTTTATCGCTTTATGCAGCGATCTGATGAGATGCACTCTGTCCTTGCCGACTCCTGCTGTGAGTTGGAGTCCGCTGGGCCAGACGTCGTCTCGCCGCTTTCAGAGAGCGGGAGGTCACGGTGGCGCTGGTCAACCCAGCTGTGTCCGGAACGTGCGGCACCATCACAGTGGCGGTGGTGATCGCCAGCACCACCCGTGATGAAATGGAGGAAGCAAAGGTCAGTAGGCTGTCCAGATTGTTACCAAAGACTCGGCTGAGTTGTGAAACCTGCAGCCACGTGCTTTTGTTTTCTCTGACTCAAAGGCGGGCAGTCATAGCCGCCGGAATAAAGCGCGTCGCTTATATTGTTGTTAGTTTACACATTTTTTTCTGCGGTAGAAGTAAAAAGGACAAAAAACAATGTTGCCAATCGCGAAAGGAATGAAGCAAACCGTTGTGTCAACGTTAGAGAGAGGGAGAGAGAGAGAGAGAGAGGAGAGGAGGGAGGGAGGAGGGAGGAGGGAGGGAGGAGGGAGGGAGGGAGGAGGGAGGGAGGGAGGGAGGAGGGAGGGAGGGAGGGGGGGGAGGGGGGAGGGAGGGGAGGGGAATAGATGAGAACAACAGGTCGAGACATTTTGCTCTGTTTTTAGCTGGCCGAGAGCAAGCCGCCGGCAGCTGAGAAGGGCACGAAGGGGCAGCCATGGACTGGTATCGTGAACGTGGTCCTGGTCAAGGCAAAAGGCCTGTTGGCCATGGATGCCGGTCGCACCAGCGACCCCTACGTCAAATTCAAGTACGGACTGTTCCGAGGAAACGATACGCATGCACTACACACACTTTGCATGTCATGCCGGTAGCGCATGTCATGCCGGTGGCGAGTATTTTAGTTTCACGCGTTAGCATCTTTTGACTGCCCAGTATCAGATGTGTGATGTATCTGGTGTGCTTTTTTGATGCAATTTTGCAGCACCACGACTTGGAGTTTTCCTCTAAATTTAATCTTTGACGAACTCTGAAGCTGCTAAGCGGTGTGGTGCCTGTGTTGCCACCGTTCATGATCGCATGGCTAATGTTTTGATTCCCGACCCTGGCTCATGTTTTGATTCCCGACCCTCGCCGATGTTTCGACTCCCGAACCCTGTGTGTTTCGCTAGACCAGCTAAACAACCAGCTAAATAGCTTGCAACTCTTATGATCCTGCCATTGGTGCGTCCGTGAACAATAACACAGCTGTGACGTGTTTGAAATGGGTACGGACATCGATCGGCATTGAAGAAAACACATTGGACTGTCCGGCGGAAGTGTGGAAAAAGTTCCATACTCGGAAGATGAGTGATATCCCCCTTTTCTGACCATACTGCGAGCGTGATCTTGCACTTTGCTCTGGAAGTGCTACAGTGGATTCGTGATGCGTTTCAGGCTTGGGAAAGAGAAGTACAAGAGCAGATCCATTAATCATTCGTTAAGTCCTCGCTGGAACGAAGAGTTCAGACTGCATCTCTATAGCCACGGCCCGCACATCATTGAGATGGAAGTATTCGACCACGATTTGAAGACTGTGGACGACTTTATGGGAAAGTAAGCCGTGATAAAACTCTCAACTGAATCGCTACCTAGTGGAATGCATGCTTTTGAATATTCCGACTTAGTGTAAGCACTTGGCTTATGTCCACGGCTCGCTTACCTCCGGGAGTGGTTGGCTGCATGGAAACTGCTTTCCCGGATCCCCAGCCCCCACCATTATGTCTTTGTAAAGACCCAGACGCCGGCCATGGGCATCTGTCGTCACTGTTACTGCGCGTGCAATGCACACGTGTGCGGAGACGGGTGTCAATATCTTTAAAGTTCACGTCACTGTAGAGAGCTACTGAATTGAACCTTAAGCAAGATATTGCAGGCAATATTGCAGCCATCAGAAAAAGCACAGAAGAATTTCTTTCCATATAAGAGACAAACATTGTTCGTGATGCACAATGGTCTATTTTATTATGTGATGCTATACAAAGGCGAATTAGCCATCTTTTTCATACCGTTCTTATCTCCTCCGGTCTTTGTTTCGTCTGGTTTGGATAAGAGCCCTTTCGACCATTAATTACCATTTCAGGGCTATGGATAAAGGATATTACAGTGTATGTGTGTATCTGTGGGGTGGGGGGCAAAACTGCATACATTTTGGGAGCCCTACGCCTCCGAGACTTACCCCGCACAGGAGGTCCACTTCGAGACTTGTGAAGGTGCTCTGGCGGGGCCCCTGACAGGGGGACTTCAGCCCGCTCCTGGCTCCACGCCGCCCTCCGCAGATAAATGGGCTGCTGCGGGGACCCAGGATGAAGCAGCGAAGGAGCAGAGAGGGGCAGATTATGTTCCAGTCGTTTTCAAAGAGGAAAAACTGAGCGTCTTGTGCTCGCGTGCTTGTGTTACGTAGGAACAGGGCACGAAATACGCAAAACAGTGGACAATTTGTATCGGCATAACACATCACCCGCCAGCTACAACACTGACTCCCTGGGGACCTGGCTGCTCTGGCAGGGCGCTAACTTTTAAGTCCGTGCTTCTTCCGTACACGACGCGTCTTTGTGCCAATGATCCCGCTGATAAGACTGACACGGACGCCCGCGCGCGCAGGGCCACGCTCGACCTCTCTGAGCTGCAGAGGGAGAAGACACACAGGCTGTGGGTGAACCTGGAGGAGGGCGCGGGCTCCGTCCTCCTCTTCGTCACCATCTCCGGAACGACGCAGGTGGAGACTGCCTGCGACCTGCTGGCCTACCGAGAAGACCCGGCCCGCAGGAGGAGGCTTCAGGAGCAGTTTGTAAGAGGCGCCCGTGCTCCAAGCCGGGGTGGCTGCACGCGTGTGGAGGCCGCCCCTGGGTTTGCTTGGGCTCGATAGTCGGTGCGGACTGATGAGCGTAGAGTTTTACAAGTTTTTTTTTAAAGGTTTTGTGTAAGGATCTAACTAGTATTCGAAATTTGATGGTGCCTATAGGAATCTCTAAATGGAAAACGGTATTTTAGCAGAAAACGTAAACGTACTCGTGTGCAGCTGAGTTCCGTCCGCCCAGCTCGGACTACGGAAGCAGCCAGTTTTCTCAATTGTTGGACAGTTGAGTTGAAATTTTAAGCTGAGACAGCAGTTAAGATTCCCTGTTTGAAAAGGCAATTTTGTTGCTTTGCTTCACGTATCCGTTTGTCGCCATTAGAATAAGTACTTTCACCATGCCACTTTCGTTGGATGAAGGTATGCTTTGTTTTATGTGCCTACGGTCATATGATACACAGTAATGTATATATTCCGTACGCATTGTGACAGCTTTTTTACCAACAGTATGAGAGTTTCGGGTAACTGATTATGATACAAAGTCTTTTGTTCAAAACATTTGATACCAGGGAAACTTGGAGACTTAGTTTTTAGTGCGACCGTGCCACAGACTCGGTCGGTCGTCAAAACTTCTCGGCCAGGTGGCCGAGGATTCGCTGGGTCTTGAAGAGGATTGACCAGCTGTAGCAAGGCTGACAGTTGCCGCCGTAGTCCAATTCAAACATGGCTGTCAGTGAAAGTAAAGTATTGCTATTGCTCCAGCGAAATATCGATGGCAGTCCAATGAAATGTTGTTGTCACTTCATGTGAAATATTGTCGGTTCAAGTTAAACATTGCCTGTGCAAAGTGTTACCTACGCCGTGCGTTTGGCTCGACAAACGTAAACGTCAATTGCAAAGGACGAAAAATGTGCGCAACACAAGTCGAAACCGGGCTCAGATACCTACGAGCCAAACGTGACGGAAGTTTTGAGGGATAAAAGGGAAGCCCGTGTTGACAAGGAAGTAAGGGATGTGTGCATCTGATCACGCGCAGTTGGGCGCAACCCTCTGATTGGTCGGCTGCAAATTTGAAAAGACAATGCCCGATTTCGACAACCAAAAACGGTAAAAAAGTAAATTTGACTACACATAGAAAGCGGGTGTATGTAAAATGCGAGCTTTCGACACCAACCCACAGACGCGTCAGTCATTGACCGGGTGTCAGGTAATGTCCGCTTTTCAAAATCAGTCTTGAATATGACAGTCTATGCATTAGTAAAACGCCACTATTTCGGTCCCAGTTGCTAAGGCCCGTTAGTCTCGTTGTTTTGAAAATATTTTCGTTGACCATTGTTCACAAATCTAGCTCTGGATTAACATCGTCAGGCCTGGCTTGGCACACAGCCAGCCAATTTTCAAATAACGATCTATGAGAGCGGCACTCGAAAGCTACACGCGGGAGCCGATGTTCGCTAAACTGTCTTAGAAGGCGGACTTTGCAATGCTTTGATCAAGCCGATTGCAATCCCGGATGGATTCTGGAGCTGTCGACTCCACAAGCTCAGCTTTTGACATCATCTACGTCATGATCATTGATAACTCCAACTCCTGTCATCTATTCACTTGTACCGCGCGGACCATGCGCCTAGGAGACGGACAGTTCGCTGCGAGGTAGCCTCGCCGCTACTTCCACCATGAGTGGAAGTAGTGGTCAGAGTAGCCCCCAGAGTAGCCACCAGAGTAGCCACCATGGGTCGGTTGTGACTTGGCGGATAAGCTGACTGTCCACAGAGCATCACTAACGAGACTCGCGTGTCACACTGAATTGTGCAATCAATGGCAATTTATTCGGAAGGTTTGCAGGGTGCTTTTGTGATAGCCTTCAAATGTGGAACTCATTCTTGAAACGGTGCTCAACTTGTGCCTCATCCGCGGCGAACGCGGGTACAACAGCACGCTTTTAACCTTGTTCCAACGAAACTGTATCGGACATTACTTCGCGAGCAAAGCCGTTAGCCGTAAAGAACAAAGTGCATTTCTGCTGAGATTTCGGGGGCTCATGGTTGACCGGGCCCTGACCGGACCCACATCGCTTCACGTGCGTGGTTCGTTTCAGAGTTTGAAGAACACGTGCAGTGAACTGGACCGTGTCGGCCACCTAACGGTGAAGGTGGTGAAGGCGCAGGGCCTGGCCGTGGCCGACCTGGGCGGCACCTCTGACCCCTTCTGCGTGCTGGAGCTGGTCAACCAGAGGCTGCAGACGCACGTCGTGTACAAGTCACTGGCGCCACACTGGAACAAAATCTTCACGTTGTGAGTGTCCAAGCTCGGCGCGCGTCGCGACCAGGAACGCGGGCAAGATGGAGCTGGCGCTTGTGCTTGCTTTGGCTCAGCCGTCGTTTTTCGAGTAGCATTTATCTTTTTGGTTAACCTGATCATTGAACGCTGCCAGCTGTGAGGTATTTGACCACGCGCACAATCTGCAAACATGGTCGTAGTGCTGTTTCCGATTCGTGAAAAGCGATAGCATGCAATTGTTAATTGACACCATATGTCTTTGCATGACTGGCCGGCTGCTTTGCTTGGCAGGGACGTGAGCGACATGCACAGCGTTCTGGAGTTCTCTGTCTACGACCAAGACTACGACCACGAGGCTGACTTCTTGGGGAAGCTCGCCATCCCACTGTTCCAGGTAGGGGAGCGTCCATGACGTCACGCAGCAGCTGAACGTGCCGGGCGTCGTACCCAGCACAGCATTCTGGTACCGTACGATCCGCTGCGAAGTAGCCTCGTCGCCACCATGAGTCGTGTGTGCGCTGGCGGGTCTAGCACACTCTCAGAGAATGTCACGACTTAGACTGGCATGCCGCATTCAAATCACACCGCATGCGATGCTCTGTGCCGTAAATTGCGACGTGTTGCTCAAACCGCCGTTTGGTGCGTTTGGTGCATACACTTTGAACTGAGACCTGTGTTTGCCACAGCAGCGCATGTCGTTTTAAGGCATCCTTAGATGTGATGAGGAGATACAAAGTGGCGAGGTGTAGGATGCGAAGCATCTCCGCGTTCCAACAGCTCGTGTTGGTGAAACGTTTTGCTAAATCGTCACCGATTCCGGAAGTGGCGCCTCCGCAGAGGAGATGGGGAGGGACGCTCATCTCAATGATTTTAGTATTTAACATTGTTCCTATGGCTTTGCATGGACAGATGACGCTAACTACCCACTATGTTCTCCATTCCTCCTCCGTGTCCCCTTCTCCCAAATGGCCAGATGGTGGCACTAACCCTGACCCCCCCCCCCCCCCACCCCCACTTTGTTTTGTTTCTCGACCCCTTTTTGGTGTAACTACAGACGTAGGTCTGGCCTATTTTTCCGGGAAGATATCATTGTTTTCAGCACGAAGCAGATATGGAGGTGCTATCGCTTGTACGCATTGTTCAAAATAACGCTTGGCTGATTGGCACTTTAAATTATTCCTTCGTAGCTAATGGTCTACCGTTTTTTTTTGGTTCATGTCGCAGTTTGTCATATGTGTCGACAGCCACACCGACAAGCGTGCTATCTACCTCAATCCCTTATACTTCAGAATGTTACGCATAGGAACAGAGGACGTCTGTTGTTTCAGATTCGATCTGGCGAGAGACGGTGGTTTCCGCTCAAAGACGAAAGGCTTCGCAGGAGGGCAAGAGGAAACAACCCGCAGATATGTCTGGAGATGGAAATCTACTGGAATCCCGTAAGCTGGTTTTAGTTAGAAAGGCTCGCGTTTTCGCCCATGCTAAGACAGCCGTGGCGTCTCGCCCATTTGCTGTTGTTGGGGACCCAGTAGTAAACGTTTTTCGGCGACTTTAACGCTCTCCTGCCATGAAGGTATGGTGTGCAGGCACATAACCTTGTATTTAAGCTGGTTTGGTGGGGGTGGGCCGCCAGGGAGCCCTTTTCAACCCGACGGAACACCTTATCAAGCTCCCCCCCCCATACACACTTAACCAAGACTCTAGCTGCGTCTGTTTCCGCGTCCGTTAAGTTACACGCGTCTGGGAGTGATGAGGAGTTTGCATCGCAGCACTCTGTTTTTCGCCCAAGTGTTGTGTCCGCTGTCATATCACGAGCCCCTGGCGGAGACGCGACGTAATCCTGCCGTGACCCTGCCTTGATGCTACCGTGACCCTGCCGTGACCCTACCGTGACCCTGCTTTGACGCTACCGTGACCCTGCCGTGACCCCTGCCGTGAGCCTACCGTGACCCTGCCGTGACCCTGCCTTGACGCTACCGTGACCCTGCCTTGACGCTTCCGTGACCCTGCCGTGACCCTGCCTTGACGCTACCGTGACCCTGCCTTGACGCTACCGGGACCCTGCCGTGACCCTACCGCGACCCTGCCTTGACGCTACCATGACCCTGCCGTGACCCTACCGTGACCCTGCCTTGACGCTACCGTGACCCTGCCGTGAGCCTACTGTGACCCTGCCTTGACGCTACCGTGACCCTGCCGTGAGCCTACCGTGACCCTGCCGTGACCCTGCCTTGACAGCTACCGTGACCCTGCCGTGACCCTGCCTTGACACTACCGTGACCTCCGTGACCCTGCCTTGACACTACCGTGACCCTGCCTTGAGGCTACCGTGACCCTGCCGTGACCCTACCTTGACGCTACCGTGGCCCTGCCGTGGTGCTACCGTGACCCTGCCGTGACCCTACCGTCACCCTGCCTTGACGCTACCGTGACCCTGCCGTGGGCCTACCGTGACCCTGCCGTGACCCTGCCTTGACGCTACCGTGACCTTGCCTTGACACTACCGTGACCCTGCCGTGACCCTGCCTTGACACTACCGTGACCCTGCCTTGAGGCTACCGGGACCCTGCCGTGACCCTACCGTGACCCTACCGTGACCCTGCCGTGACCCTGCCTTGATGCTACCGTGACCCTGGCTTAACGCTGCCGTGACCCTGCCTTGACGCTACCGTGACCCTGCCTTGACCATGCCGTGACGCTACCGTGACCCTGCCGTGACCCTGCCGCCACACGCCAGGTGCGAGCCGCGGTGCGGACGTTCGCCCCCCGCGAGCGCAAGCACGCCAAGCCAGCGGTCAAGTTCAGCAGGTCGGCCTTCGTGCACCACGTGAACCGACTGAGCGCGCGCAGCAAGCGGGCGTTCGGCTTCGCACAGTTCGTCAGGTACAGCCCCGCGCCGCGTCCCGTTTGTATCGAGCGCTGCTCTGCTGATGGTAATACTTGGCGCCATCCTGGAATGGCCATTCATGCATGTCGATGCGCGTGAGCGCCGTGTCCTGCCAATTCAAGATATTATCCATGTCATTTTGTAAACCGACTAGGTTCTTGCACCCACACAAATGTAGTTATGTCGCGTCAGTGCCCTCCATTACGTGTCTCCAGAGCTGAGTCTAAGCGCATTAGATCAAGATGAGGCTTTTTCGCGCAAGACGCTTCGAAGCGGGATGGAGTAGGCTTTCCGGTGCAGGAAGTCTTCTTTCTATGTTGGGTAACCTCAGGCGCGCAATGAATGATACTGATAAGATAAAGATAGCAGAGCTGGATCTGAAATAGCAGACACAATGTTTCAGGGCAACTGTGGATCGCCTTTTTGAATGGCAGATAAGGGTCATTTGTTTTTTGTGCTTGTAGGTACACTGTAGGTGACGTTCTGTGATATCCCAGTTCCCACGCGATTAAGATAACGGATAATGTTTGTGCTTTTAGCACACAAGCCTGCACACATGAGTTTACTGTTGAATTGTATGGCTGTATGCTCATTGCAGGAGCGTGCTGGCATGGGAGTCGAAGCCGAAGACGATCGCGACCTTCGTCTTCTTCATGCTCATCATCTACTGCTTCGAGCTGTACATGGTCCCGGCATTCATACTGGTGGCCGCGGCGCGCGGCTGGATGGTGGGTGTCGCACCACTTATGATAGGAGAGGGTTTTTTCCCGGATAATGTTTTTTGATAGAAGCGACGCAAGCGCCGCTACCATATGGAACAAATGGTCACTACCACGTGTGAGCTACTGAGGCAAGGCATTAAATTGACGACTTATGGCATTCATTGCTTACCGACCTCGGACCCGTCTCAGCAGTGACGGCTCAGCCTGGAGCGTATGTCACACCGATCCGTCTGCCATTTTGCGGAACAAAAAATCCACGAGAACTCAAACAGACATTTCCATTAGTGCATTGAAGGCGTATGACTTGAGGTGCGCCGCGATAGCACATGCCTTCTTTCTTTCGGTCATGGTAATGGTATATTTTGCACAAAGCTCGATGTTTGATGACGTAGATGTGGGTATAAGGACGCATTGACCGCATTGGTTATTCGCGCCGTTTGCGCCGGTAATTTGAGGTGAGGTGGATGAGGTACAGTAACGTTCGTGATATGATCAGCGACTATTCATCCCCAGGCCCGAGTGGCTTCATCCAAGGAACAGCATACCCAGGAGGATGAGAATTACAATGGAGAAGACGATGATGACGGTGATGACGAAGAAAAGGTAACACTTGTAATTTTGTGAAGAAGTTGTCATCGTGTTCACATGCCTCGCAATACAGAAAAGAGTTTGAAATGGCGGAATTTTGTAGGAGTCCTACATAAGTAACAGCTGCATCAGGACAGAAACACAAATTCAAAACAAACGCCCTAACGTTCGTAAAAGAACATTGCCTCCAATCAACGCTGTCGTGACCATCACTAATGGCCTGTAAGGTTTTTGGCGTTGTCCCAGGGACAGCGTAGGTAAAGAGGCACTCTTGCATTCCTATGTTTCATTGACAGGCCACGAAATACGGTACCTTTTTATAAACACTTCTTCTCACCATTTATAATGGCTGTCAGCAATGGTAACTGGACAATATGGCCATAATCAAGGTCGGTGTTGCTTGGGTACGGAATATACTGTCTGAGTCAAGTGATAGCAGTACATAAATTGCTAAACCGACTCCACTGTCTATAATTATATCTGTCTATAATTCTGTCTATAATTTTGTCTATCTGCTCTGTTCTTTATTCGCTGAAAGGTGACCACTTACGTCGACAACAACGGTTGGATTCGTACTGGGGCAGATGCTCGTCAACAAACGGAACGGTGGGAACAGTTTTGTAGCCTAGAAGTTTCGTTGAAAGCCTTTGCTGGTGCCCATTGGAAGCTGATGAATGGCGTTGGAAGTTTGAAATTAGTCTTTTATTAAGTTGCAAAACCCGATCCACTTGGACTGCAGCATGTCGTTAGGAAAAACGTACAGTGTACTGCTGACAGTGATCACACTCTGTTTCAAATGGTCATTGGATGCGTTCGGGTGGATCTACGGTCTCCGAGATTTTGATGACCTTCGCCGGCCGCGGCGTTGGGAGTCATTGTTGCGGGGCTTGCCAGCACTGATCAAGGCGGTGCTGACGCCTCGCGTGACCTCTGCCACAGGATCTCAGCGACTCGTGTGAGACGCTGGACGTGGAGTGGCGGTACTGGCGCTACCTACCGGTACGTCAAGAAAGTGTGGTGGCTGTTCTGCTTTTAGGTGATGTGTCACTGCCTACTGCCCTGCGATCAAGCATGGGTTCGGGTCTGGGGAACTGCGGAGACTGAGTGCTGGTGGCTTGGGTCTGAGATCGAGTTTCTGGTCAATCTCTGTCACATTATTGAGTCCAGATCCGAGGTTAGGTATTTTCACGGCTCATGTGTCCTAGCCTGAATCCTTGGGAGATCGAGTCCTAATCCGGCGCTGCGTCACATCTCCGGAGTCTGGAATTAGATTGCAAGGACAAGTCTAGTTTCATGTACGATCATGCAATATCATCTTGGGTTCAGCTCGTTAAAGGGCATGTTCCACTTTTCAAGATATTGAAGCAAGAGTCGACATGGTAAAACAAGCTCACTTTTTAACACTGGTGTATTAAATGGAAAGGATTGCTCCACACATCGCGATTGCTCTGTTTGGCACAGATCCTCCTCAATGCGTTATCGTTTGATTACGGCATCGTACGTTGCAACTCGGCGCGACAATGCTATAATTTCTTGGCATTGATCGCCGCGTGGCCAATGGAATGGCAGAATTTGAAGTGATATGATTATGACATTGTGGATGCGTGAGTGACCTTGAAATAGTCTCCTCGAGATAGTCTGCACGTCTTTGCGGGTGTATAGCTCGGAAACTAGGCGACTTTAGATCTTAAGAAGAACAAGGCTGTGAACTGCACGGAATGATCTTCAAGAGGGCTATTTCAGTTTAAAACCTCATACAACTATGGAACACTCCCCTTAGGAATACAAAACGTAACCAGGTGTGAACCTCGGCCCGACCTAAATTGCCCCAACCTTAGGTAAACCCAATTCCTGATGAAAGAGTATTTGAGTAGTTATCGAAATGCAGGCGTACGTTACGGATGCGCTCCATATGTGTTTAGCAAGGTTGTGCCCTAGTCACGAAGTGTTAGAATCCATCGCCAAATCTTCGCAACCAACCCCAACTGAATTCGCTTAACGAAACTGAACTGTACACAACCTAAGCGATCCAAGATAGATCTGAATCACCGAACGCAACTTAACAAAGTAGATGTGGTCACGTTTGCTTTATATCTAGAACAAGTTACCCTTTTACAGCCTGTGGTGATCTGTTAAAATGTAACTTTAGGCCTCATCTTAAATTGGGAGGCAAACGAAGTCTGACAGTCGCAAACCTTAAAAAATGTTAGATATGAATATGCTCTTATCAGCTTAGATTTAAATCAGTGTATTTCAGAGAGCACTGTTTTCATATTGGTCAGTCGGAATTCGATTCATCTGTAAACTAGGTGTAGACAGCCATTGGACATTTTCGTACATTAACCAACCCGCTATAAAAACAGCCTCCATTTTAATACCACGCTTGTCTGGTAATCCCAAAAATTAGACCAAGTCACCACAGCATGCACAGAACAGCAGGTTGTCCCGCTGTACGGTGGCGTCTCTCCACAGGACAAGAAAAAGACGTTGAAGGAGAAGGTGCTGTCGGTCCAGGAGGTGACGAGCCTGATGCAGAACTGGCTGGGATACTTTGCCTCGATGATGGAGCGCCTGCTGCGGTGAGTCGACCGCCCGCTCCCGCGTGGGCGTTTCGTCAGCATGTACCACTTCGTCATTTTACGTTTCTGTATTTGGTCCCATGCGACCAAATAATATAGCTCCGCAAATGTGAAATGACCAATAGGTGCGTCGCAGTGAAACAAATACGACTATTTTGTTTGCCCGCGGCCGCAAATCTTGCGTGTCACTCCCACTTTCCCCACTGCTTGAGCGTTTCCGATTTGGGACCAAAACAGGCCCCTGGCTCGCAATGCCCGCGTGAAGAGTGTATGCGCGTGACGCGTGACGTTTGCGCGTGACGTGACGTTATGCGCGTGACGTTTCAGGGCGATAGACTTTACCGTGCCGTTCCTGTCGTGGCTGGCCGTGCTACTGCTCACCGCGACCACCGTCACGCTCTACTACGTGCCTGTGCGGTACCTCATCATGATGTACGGCTGCCTCAAGTTCGCCGAGAAGCCGCTGGAGTTGGGGACCGACCCCGCGTTCGCGCTGCTCCACTTCCTCGACCGCGTACCCGACAACGAGCAAGTGGTAAGAAGCGCTGGGATGGGGCCGGCCGCCCGCGGCCTTCCAGCTCGCACAGGTGTCACACGAAAGGGGTCTCTTTTGGGTGAGTACCCCTGCATTGAAAAGTTGCTTTGTAGTTAGATCGCCGAGGTCATAGCCGATCAGTATCGTCAACGTCATCGCATAAAGCGTGGATGAAAAGTGCGGTTTTTTGGTAAGGTGCAAGCACCACGCAAATATGACGTTTCCGCTGAAAAAAACAAAAAATATATTTCAAGGTCCTGCTTAAGTCCGGCTTAAGGCTCGCTGAAACGGTATTCTCGGAAACCTGACCCCATACTGACGGTGCAAAATTGGAAGCGGCAGAAGTGGTTAACTGCATTTTAGTGCTCTGCTCAATATCGCCCTCCTATTTTCATCGGCTTCATAATCAATGTTACTATGACTTGTGCCTGTGATTGAGTGTCATTATAACTACAATGTTATTTCGACTGAGCTGGAATCATTTGTAACCTGAAATGATTTCGACTGTTCGATTATGTAATTTCTAGTAAGATATCTTCATGAAAATTTTGTAACTGCCCAATCCACGTTTGAACCGCACCACAAATCAGATGTGTAAAGAACCAGACATGTGCCTTGTTGCCAAGATTTCTGCTGATGAACCCTTTTTGGTTTGGGAATGAGGAAGAACCCGGAACCAGTTCACAGTGCGAAGGCGGATACGGCCTGGGCCAGGCCCATGATGCGCTGCATTATTCAGAGCGAAGCAGCGGAAAGCGGAATCCAGCCCGGTCCCGGCCACAGTTGCGATTGAGGGGGGGGGGGACGATGTAGCGTCGTTGGCCTGGTCTCCAGGAGTAAGACTGGGAGAAACTGATGAATGGTAGCATGGAGGACGATAAGTTGTGTGACTTTTCCTTTGGCTGCGCAGATTTTCAAATGCCGGAATGTTGAAACGGAGTGCGGTGAGGAATTGTGACTTGAGATTAGTAGAAAATGACTATTTTGAATTTTTTACTTTTCGTAAGGTACATGTTACGAAATCCGTGCAAATCTGAGCTCGGCATCATCCTCACACGATCGGAAAAGCAATTTAGGTAGGTTTATTAAGATAATCCACCGTCTGCTATTGCAAATGTGCCGTCTACCGTCTTTCGACGACACCCAAACATTGTTTGACTGGGGTAAATTAAAACGTGTTTTGCTCTTTATTACGGCTTATCACATTTAGGCAGCATGTTAAATGCATTTGACCTGCCAGGGGCGAGTCCAGGAGCAATCATATCAGGAGTGTGGGGTTTTTCTTTTCCGCTTGAACCGGACTGAATGAGTTATGGGGCTAGCTCATTCTTTTTAACTCATTTGTTTTATAACTCACTTGTTTGAGCTATGCATTGACAGTTTCTACATTGATCAAACCCTTTGGCATTTGTTAACAAGTGTGTGTGGCCCCATTAGCTTGGTGTTTTGTTTGTATCACTCGCCTAATGCCCACCAGCCTCGCGCATCTGTAATCACCTCATTGGTCCTCTGCCGGTCATGGCGCTTTACTGCACTGGTTGGTCGATTTTGAGCCTCGCCTCACAATTAAAGGCTTCCAGAAAGAGAACGCAAACACCCGGCCCTAGTTCCACCGCTTTTGCGGCCCTCAAAGATCGGAATTTACAAAATGGTTGATGGATACTTTGGGGTTTAGCATGCATTTGCTATGCGCAACACCTAATGGCAGGACTTCCAGTTCAGATGCATGGGGTTAGAGTCCCTCAACATATACTGGTGTGAATAGGGTTGATGGAACCAGGACAAGAGCTTTCATTTTCACTTAGGAGCCGATGGAACCAAAGCCCATCATTGCGAGCCGTGCACATGCGTGATAAGGGCTGCGGTCAACCTGTTTTCGGTGGTTGACTTAAAAAAGAATTTCGTTTTGGGGTGCCACGCTCTGCCTCATCATCGAATCAAGATGATCTCCAAAAGACCCGGAAATGGCATTGCTGCCAAGTGGTGGAAACCCCAGCAGCAAACAATGCAGCGTCACTGGTCCACGGACCTGGCCTGCCGGAGGCTTCTCATGCTACCTGTTGCTTCATACAGCGAAGTCACGCCACATGACCATGACTTGCTTGTAACCGTGCAGCTACCGACCACATTAGCATTTGCAGTCCATCTGATGCAAATTCAAGGCTCCGGGTCGTCCGGCCGCTTCCGCCCGCGGGTCTTTGGAATCCCAGTGTGCCGCTCAGCCCGGTCTTTGGAATCCCAGTGTGCCGCTCAGCCCGGTCTTTGGAATCCCAGTGTGCCGCTCAGCCCGGTCTTTGGAATCCCAGTGTGCCGCTCAGCCCGGTCTTTGGAATCCCAGTGTGCCCCTCAGCCCGGTCTTTGGAATCCCAGTGTGCCGCTCAGCCCGGTCTTTGGAATCCCAGTGTGCCCCTCAGCCCGGTCTTTTGGAATCCCAGTGCGCCACTTACAGTCGCGGAGGCAGGCGCCAGCCATCAACTTGTCTCTTAAAATTCCGTGAATGTCTGCTGTAAGCAGGTTGAATTTTTGCACTAGCTGATAGCGTTAATTTGGCCGCTCGCACGTGCATAGTTAACAAAATATTGGGACGTCATATAGGGAACTGAGCTGGCTGTTAATACAACACAAAATATACTGAGAGAGACGATTGTTTTCAGCGGCCTTTTACGTTACACGCCCTCGACCCAAACGTTCCGTCTCCCCGCGATTCCATCGTTTTATTGTCATTGCCTGCGGTTTGGCCCGTCCAAGGTCGACAAGTTATATTGCCTGTAACATCAGGAGCTGGATTGTATATCATTACCCGGGGTCGAGAGGATTCAGCACCTTCACGAGGTTTTCATGACAGCACTGAGCAAAGTTACGTGCGAGGCACTTTGAAAAAGACAAAGAAGGCTATTTATCTGATTGCCGGCGCAAGGAAAGCAAGCTGTTTTCCATGTAGGCTAGAATGACAAAGTAGAATGAACCGATAGGGGGGGGGGGGGGGTCACGTTGTTACAGGCCGGGACAACGTCGCCGGAGGGCAAGGCATCGTATTATACCCCACCCCTGAAAGCCACGTAACTGGGTCTTTCTGTGCGTTCGCAAAAATATGGTATAAAACACGGTGCTGTGCACCATCAGCGTCAGCTCCTAGATCCCGAGATATTTCCACGCAGATTAGGTAAGATAACTGACGAATTTTTCACCATACCTCAAGCATTTCTAACCACGCGTATCACAAGTGTGTGTCCAACATAGACAAGCAGCTGCTGGATAGAAGTGAAAAATAACACCCTCATACAGCAATAACCTTCATTTGTGGCGTGGATAGGACACCCTTTAGTTGCCCTGTTTGTGTATTCCTGTTGCCCGTTTCCAACCGTACGCGTTTTGACTTCAACCAACAAAAAACCTCAGAATTACGTTACAGACTGAAATGTTTATACCAAAAATGAGTGACGTATCAATCAGGGAGCAACAGCAGCGGAGTGTTGACCTCAATAATGTCATGGAAACCTTCTGAGGTGACCTTGACGAGTCATCTCAGAAGACCACAATATGATATATATATATATATATATATATACACATGATATTAATTTTTATAAAACCGCAATACTTGACAGGTAGGATAATCTGAGAGATGGAGGGTGGGTTTGAGTGATGAAGGAGGGGGCACGGCGTCGAGGTGCAAAAGTGAACTCTTCTTCTATTCCCAGTGGACGCCAAGACCGCTGGCGAGAGGTACGGCGTCATATTTGCTCCATGGGTTGAACACCTCGTAGCAACAACTGGCAGCTGTTACCTGACAGCTGCCAATAAACAGCCTAATGTTCCCAGCGGACACCAAGACCCCAGCGCAGCGGCTGTGGCAGCGGTAAACGTACCAGTCACAGCCACTGGCCCGCGCGCCCTGAGGTGAGCGCCGCCTGGGGAGCAGGCGGCGCCGGCGCCGGCCGGCCGGCGACGCGTCATATCTCCTGGCGCGGAGCCAACGCCAAGCTCAGGCCAGGTCGCGGCGAGGTCATGCAGTCAGTCGAGAATATGGCGTTGCCCGGGGTGGGCCGACGCAGCTAGGCAGGCGGCGGCGCGGGGCGGGCGCGGGCTGGACGAGGCGTATTCGACGGCAGCTGAGCAGTCAGAGGTTTACCATCACGTCTGCACCATGAGCTTGGCGCGTTAAATTCACCAGCTGTCAGCTGATGCAGTGGACGTGTATTGCATTTATTCCCACGTCCAGGGGTGTTGCTTAGAATGATTGCGGGGGCCTGAGCCCCTCCCCCTCAACGCTCCTCTGAGTCCCCACCCAATGCATACGAGCAGCACAGGGAATACTGAGCCAATGCAATCCAGTATCTGAACTGCCTGTACACTAGGTACCTAAACGTATCACTATCATTGTCTTCAGCCCCATATGTCATCATTATTGTCACATTGGCTTGAAATGGAAGTCCTTCCTAAGCATTGAAACATCCTTGAAACTGAGAACTTATTTTTGTATTCTCTAATTTGGCATCAGGGCCGCGAATCAAAGTGGCCGAGATGCGCGAAGAAATAAGTGTTTTTGGGTGGGCTGGGTCAACTATTGGCTCAGCCCCCTCAACTAATTTTAGACAGCAGTACCCCGCCCACGTGGTTTCCATGTCGGATAGGGTGAAAATCGTCGGTAATGGATTATGCTGCGGCAAAAGTCATATACTTATGTTATATACGAATGTATACCTTTTCATCTACCGTAACTTACGTGGTTATTCCGCGCAAGCGAAATCTGATATAAAGGAATGACAACATTTTCTGGACCCTGTTTTAATCACATAGAAATGACCAAACAAATAGTTTGCCAAACGGAACATCAAGACAACACGTCCATTCTGGTTATTTCATGGTCGTTAAATTCCGTCATTTCGGGAAACAATTTTGCAAGGTTTGACACGCATTGAACCGGACGCCGCATCATAAACTAACGAGACTTGATAACTAATTTATCCGTTTTCTTGCATGAGCTGTGGCGAAATTAG